ATGATATAGCTGGAATTAAGAACCCAGCCTGACTTCGTGGCCTGCCTGAACTAACGCTATGCTTAATTTCTGATATACCGAGGCATCACAGACTCACACACTCGCATAGTTTGTGAGTGTGGCACACTTTCACAAAGTTCACACACAGATATGCCTTACGCCAACTATATGAACTACACACACACACATACACACACTTGCATGCCAATCAAGATTTCTAGCCTACGTGCTCTCAGGCACATGCTGAGAAAGCAGTGCCTTTATGGCTGGCCTCTTCATTGCATTGTCTCTAGTATAACTGACTGAAACACATTGTTTCACACACACACACACACACACACACACAAAAGGCCTGGGTACTTGGGTATCAGCGTCAGTCTTAATGAACCTGTCTCCAGGGGGCGGGGCCGGGGTAATGTCCCACACAAAGAGCTCCCGCTGGGCCACCGAGCCAACCAGAGGCCAACAGATTAACTTGCATTACATCAGCATCCCCACAATACACCTAATGAGGGAGGGATTATGTCTGTATGTGTGTGTGTGTGTGTGTGTGTGTGTAGGCTCTCATGCCATTGCATCACTAATTAAATGCAATGACTCACTTTTGCTTATTCAGTGTGCGTTCAGCTGTTTGGGGTCAGACACATCTTTACATACGCCTTAAAGCTTTAATATTTTCATATCCACAATGGATCTAAAGACTATATCAGCTTTTTAGCATCTTTCCACTTTTCGGTTGACTTTCACCACGTCTCGTCAAAGTGGCCCTCGACTGCGACTTCTTTAAGAGAGTATGCATGAAAGGATCGTCAAATCTTTTTAACTTTATCTCATCAGATCACTAAAATACACTTCTATTGTTCGATTAGACCAAGAACGGACAAACCTACATCCATACACGCTTTTGTCTTCTGGTCTTTTTTGAATGACGAACGTACGTGCTAGTTGGCTGTTTGCTGTAGTCGGTGCAGTGTGTTCTTGTGTCACTTTTTGGCCCTGACACAGGCAAAGTGAGGCGGCGCAACAGTCGTCTTTTGTTTTTGCTGGACCTTTGACATTGGTTTAGTGTGTCAGGGCCTGTGACAGGAGTGAAAAACCACTACTGTATCACCCTCCCAGATCTCTGCAGTTTACTTTGGTGAGTATAATCTTTTCATAACTGATGTGAGGAATGATAGACAGAACATGAAAATTAGATCAGAGTTGCCATAAACTGTAGTTTTCCTTTAAGATTACACAATGTTTGTGCTGTTTTGTGTGAGGAAAGTCAGTGGAATGGTGTTTTTTTGTGTTTCTTTGTGCTGTTTCCTGCCTCTCTCCACAGTGTTTTATTAGACTCGATGTACCTCTGGTTCACGTTTCAACTATGTTTTTTTCCATCTTCAGTTTCAGCCTCATTCTTTCTCCTTTTCTCTTTTATTTCCTGTCTTTTATTTGGCTTCTTCTGTGCACTTTAAAACTTTTACAGAATGTGGGAACAAAGTAGAGAGTGGACGTGTGTCTCCTGCGGAGAAAGACACATGCTTGCCTGTCCTGTTTGGCCCACTGCATCCATCTTTCTTTTCCTCTTTCTTTTTTTGCCCTGTCAGTATTCTCATTCAGCATTTCTACCTCGTGAGTTTTTGGATGCCATGACCCAGATTTCTTTCTCTCTGCCGTCAAGGGAAGAAAGAAGAGCCTTAAAAAGGGGGCCGGGACGGAGGGGGGACTCGGGAGTCAACTCAAGAAATAAAAATCAATGCACTCATTAATTGAAGAAAGGAAAAGAGCAAGAAATAACAAATATACTCTAAAAGGAGGGAAAGAGGGTGAGAGCGAGAGACAAAATGAGAAGGGCAGCTAGAAATAGAACAGGGTTGTTTAGGATGGCTGCACAATGGACACCAGTGTGGAGAGTCTCCAGATCTGCACTCACTGCCCCACATCTCTCCTGTCACACCCCTCAAATTTAACCAGGGGTTGCCCGGAGTAACAAAGGGACACAAAGGGGCTGAAAGGCATCCGACTGACCCCAACAGCATGCACTGTCTGATCGTCTTGAGGAACATTATTACGCCAGGATGCTGTTGAGGAATGATGTTCAACTCCTCAGTGAGACCTACTTTCTGTTGGGAAGTGATCAGACATTGCTTGTTTAAAAAAAAAATCAAAGTTTTTGAGGGAGAATTAAAGGACCATTGTGTAACATTTAGAAGGATCTATTGAAGATTTACCGTAAGATGCCACTAAATCCTACACACCACCTGTAAGACTTTACCAGCCTAAGGGAAACAGATATCATTAATAGGAAGGGGGCTAGAAGCGCCCAATACGGTGTGCTTGGCAAGCCCCGCACTATTTAATTCTCCCAGCTACCACGGATATGGCTGTGACAATGCTGGGGGAAAAGGCCAAACTATACAGACCATCATCCAACAATCAGTGACAAGGAAGGAAACAGTTACTACTACTACTACTACTACTAACAGATGTAGCCGGCCTGGCACAGCTCCCGGTGTTTGTCTGGTACATTCATAAAGGGTCCGTTAAGGAGGACGTGCTCTTCTGTAAACTACTGGAAACAAGGAAAACTTCCTTCCTGATCAAAAGGTTTATTTCTGATGCAACCATGAAAGGAAATGTAGTAAGAGTACAGATAAGTGCAGCGTGATCTGTTAATTCATTTAGATTTCCCCCTGAAAGGTCATCCACTGTTGTACTCAGGATGGCAGTTCACCAAAATAACCCAAAAATAATCATCTGATTGGGTTAGTTGTCAGTTCACATGATGGTTTGTAAACTGCAGCTTATCTCACGGATTTAGGATTACTAAATTTAGCGTTACTAAAAGATCAAGATAATTTACGAATCTCCCTCAGATCTTAATAAAGTCTTCTTAAAATAGCTTGTCTGGTTTTCACTCACCGTATTTACCCTGCTAACTTAATAATCCTGCCTTGTGAGACGGGCCTCTGGCATGATTCAAATCAAACAAAACAAACTACAGGCGTGAGGGTGTCCTTATTCTGCTGTCAGCTGCTCTGGAACGTTGAGTTTACTGAGGTTTACCATGATAATTACCAGATGTGTTCCTGAAATGGCTAATTTGTCTCAGGAGTCTTATACGAGGCTACTGCATTAAAGCTCATCTCTCTCTCTGACCTCTACTGAGAAATCTACCTTCTAGTTTTTACCTGGGACAGCTAATTGTGTCAGACAGGACTGATGGAATCTCACCGGTCGTCTTACTTTTCTCATTACTGAACAGAGGCGATTATTCAGGCCGAGCCCAGCCAGTGTCAGCTGTCAGCGGCTCTCTCTCCACGCTGCCGGCCCTGCCCTCCTC